TTTCATTTGCCAGTGTTTTAATACCTGTTAAGCCAATTGGGTCCATCAATGACATCTGTATTCAACGCCTCGGATTTCTGCCTTTCTATATTCCTCTCTCCACCTCCACCTCCACATCCACCTCCTTTGCGACCAACATTATTATGCGCGTCGTGGGGCGAGGGAAAATTATACGAATTGGTAGAGGAACCATTCAACTTTACATCATGCTGCAACAGCACCTGAGATTCCGGTAGCGGAAGTGGCTGAGGGCACGGTTGAGCAGGCGAATTGACACAATGGGTAGGCGTTCGCCACAGCTCCACGTCGTTATCCGTCAAATGCCGCAACTTCCTTGCGCGCGTTAGCTGGCGGCACTTACGGGACGAACACACGCCCGTTTTCAACGTGTACCGGCCCATTCCTCTGCCGATAGGTTTGTCGTCGGAATGAGATTTGGGAGAGGGTGAGAATGCAACCTGCCACCAATGCATAATTGCAAAAATGCTAATCGTTATTCGCACAATGATTTATGAAATGGTGGCAGCAAACAAATAACGATGAATTTTCAGAAAGAATAATGACAATGTGGCATGGTGGATGAAGAAGAAACCCTTGTGGGGGTGGGGGTGGGGATGGGGTGGCGTGGCGTGGCGTGGGGGCGAGGGCGAGGGCGATGATCTGAGGAATGTCTCGAAATGTAAACGCACGAGAACGCGGTTTACCTCCGGCCAAAGAATATATCTATGGGAAAATTAGGTCTTGACTATTCAATTTTTGGAGTAGTTTGAATATTGGTCCTCAATACTTAAAAACCGAAGTTATAGGTCCTCAACTTCCATAAGACTATGACTTTGTATTCCTAATGGACCGAAATCATCCATTTGATTGTAAACTTAAAAATTTAATAGGCATCAATTCGGACGTCAATGTCTCCTCTTTTATCATAAAATTGATTTCAAGTACTTAAAAAATTTTATTCACTGTTTAAAACTTCTTCAATCACCGCCATTTTTGTTCCTTGCAACTCCATTTTACACTATAATTTAACATTTAGGGAAACCGGACCATCTTTTATTTAATTTTGGTATGTTTTCATTCGACTTTTTCATTTCTTGAAGCTCAATTCCTTAAGTGTTCAAAAAAGGGTACATAAAGGTATTATGGTAAAATATTGGATTTTCTTGAAACGGAGTGTGGATAAAATTGTAAAATCGCTCCGACCGATGGCTGACTGTTTGGAATGGTGTTCGAATTTTTTAATGCGTAGTCTTGACTTGAATTGGATGGTTTTTTCCTTGTGTAAACAACATATTTGCTTTGAAATGGTCTTAAATTTCTGGATAATTTGGAGATCAGTATGTTTTATTTAGAAGACGAAATGGACACTACCAGAATAGCTGAAGTCGGAGAGAGAGATTAAACTCAGGGTTAATGGAGTGTAATTTCCTTTCCTAAATAGACAAAGTCAATCGGTTTGACATAGTCCATGCATTTTGACTTGAATAAAAAGTCAATCGGTTTGACATGGTCCATGCATTTTTGTCTTGCACAACTTTTTATTCATTCACACCACCACATGACATGTTCAACGCTTCCAAAATGTAAAACCACCGTAAAATCGTACCAAAATTAGGGATACAAAGGACTTTTATATTCTTCCACCAGTAACGTTGGTAAAATTTTATCGACTTTTAAGGCCACAAATTTCTCGATGCAGCCTTTACAGAACAGACCGCCCTCACGGCCACCCAGGGTCCTACAGGCCCCATGGACAGACACCCCTCACACTAATCATAATACCATCAGTGCACTTTTGATGATTTGGACCATACAATCAACTGTTAGCAATCTTGTCGAGCGATATATATAAGGAAGTTCGCTAGTTACATGCATCAACGCCAGTACAATGAGAAGTAAATACAAGAATGAAACTAATTTACCCCGAAGTCCGGTTCAGAGAAATTAACATGTATTTATTCGTACATTCCTAGGAATTGTTTGATTCTTTGGTACATAGCATCAACAACCTAGTAACGTTGCCTGCCCAGATTTCTACTTGAATTCTTCTAGGCCTTTGTTTCTTCAACTTGTCTTCTTTTCCCATGTGTTTTGCCCATATGTTCTTTATTAAGTAACAGGAAAATAAGCACACCATCATCCATGTTTGCTAAAAACTAATGAAAATCAATGCGATGCAATTTTCCAATACATCCCAACCCCACAAAGGAAACAAGTGATTCACAAAATGTAGATCATCAACTTTTGACAATTTCTTGTGGCCTACCCAATAGGCACATCTGCGAGGGCATGTTTGGTACAGAGTAATTCAACTTTTTTCTATTCAGAATTAAAAATGCTGCAAGTGTTTTCCACACCTTAAGTCAAATAGGAGCAAGTAATTCTCAAACGGGGTAAAAACTACAACATTGGGGATTTGCAATATAACTCAGAGAAACAGCAATTCCATTCATGAATACATTACACTCTAAGCTTATCTAGATTTGAATAAAAAAATACTTCACATATTTATTATGCCAGCAAATTCACTTAGCAAGAACCAGAAGCTTGTAACATATGTTTAACACCCCGAAATTGTGGTTCAGTAATTATTTAGAGGCTTCAGACTTTCCCATATTCATTGACATAATCTTACATACAGGAATGGTCTCGTTCTTAGTCAAAAGCTTCAAGCACGGATGAACTACAACATCATTCATGGATACTTTGTCACCAACATCTAGATTACTCACATCCACCTCAATTTTTTCAGGAATGTGCTCAGCTGGACACAAATACTTTAATCTAGTCCTTATCCTGTTTAATCGGCCTCCTGTGTTTGCATAAAATGATGGTAAGTTTCTATAAAACTTAGAATTTAGAAGAATATTCTCAAAATTGTGCATAAATAAATAGCATAAAAACTAAGCACATTCATGAAGATTCCAGCAATTTCATGTTAAGTGCGAATGAATTAACAGGTCCGGAAAAAAATACCACCACCAAATGTACTTTACAACTGATGAAATATGTTAGGGTCTTTGATGTGCCCGGGCATTTATGTACATAAGATACCAGTCTAGAGGTGCAACCCAGTCAAGCCTGCTCGTGAACTTCCCAAGCTTTCCTCGTGTCCAGCTTGCTAAAAGTTCAAATTTCTCAATTTGATTTGAGCTAGAGGTGGTTCGTATAGTAAATGAGCTAAGATCAAGCCAGTATAAACATTTTGTAATCTCACCAGCTCGCTGGCAAGATCTCTTAATTTTTGAATGGTTTTAATCTAATCCATTGGGGTCACTTAAGAAACCTTAGTTATGATTTCATTATAAAATAAGCACGTCTTTTCAAAGCCATAAAACCTTTCTTTAGGTTTTGTTCCAATTAAAACATATAATTCGTGGCTATTACACTCCATCACCACCAGAACTGAACCGCTCTTCAGATGTTCCATCCTCAACCTTTTTAGCTACCCAAATTACTGGACCACATATAATTATGGGAACTGCCCACTATTTTCTCAAAGTCTTCTCCAATTTAGCAACAAAAGTTTCTAAATATTTGCTCAGAATTTATTCACCACATTGTCAACACAAATATATACATATCCATCTTTAGGTACCACGTCCTTCATGTCGCCATTTTGTCTCCTATCTTCACATCGATGCTACTGCTCTGATGTTGGATAGAGCTGCAGGCATTCAGTGATCCATTTTTATTTTGAGCTTGATATAGGTGGTCGCAGATGAAGTTGAATTTAATGCCAAAAATTAAAGCTAGCTAGAGCACGGATTAGGCTGAAGCATGGACAACCAATCAAGCCTAACTGAAGTACGTAAATCCTTCACTGAGTCACTCTAATAAAGCTCAAGCAGCGTTTAGCAGATAAGAAAAATGGAGAACACACAAAACAGAGCCTAAAACCAACCTTTCTTGAGACCTGGGAAAACATCTTCTCCAGTAAAAACAACAGGCACGTCCACTTTCAGCTCAGTTCCGTCCTCCGCCCACACAAACACTAAGTTCAATATCTTCCCCGTATCTTCAACCATATTGATATTTGCATAAACTATGACAACCCGAGCACTTATACCCAATGTTGCCCATTCCACCGATTTTCATCCATCTCCTCGGGCATGGTACCTCGATTACATGCCTCCTCGGGTGCATGATGGTACCCCCTCCACCATGTAGATCACGTCGGCTTATCTCCTCGGGTAAGAACATTTCCCGTTAGCCTTGGGTCTCCTCGAGGTTATGCCTTGAACTCGCACCCAACAACACTTGATCCATTAGGACTCTTCCGTAAGATAAGGCTTATTCAATTCTAATGACTTTGAGTCCTGCTATAAATATTATGTCTTATCCTGATGGGGCTCTACCACCGGAGTTATATCTTTATCCAAACGCATCAATGGTACAATATCAATTAAATTGCAACTCCTAAGCACGGTAGGACTCCCAGGGCACTACTTAGCTCTATAAATACAGCACCACAATTCATTATTCAGGGTACGCTTTTACATAATTTTCAGCAGATATTCTTTCGCATAAATTCTATCTTAGTATCGGAGGGGACATACCTTGACGTTTTTGTTTTAGGTACTCGAAAATTATGTCGTGCTCATTCCCAGTCATCAAGCTCAGAAGTGAATGGGTACAATTTTTTATAGCATCACGCATGTATCTACACATCAAAAACAAAATTGTCAAACAAAAGATTTTATTTTGAATTCTCTCACTGTTAATGTAACGAAAATCTAGATATTTCCCCCTTTACATTTCCCTGGGTGTATTCAACTCTGTCGGTCATAATTTGCTCAAAACCATAAAACTGCTACAAGCCAAGCATCAATTATGCCCATTATATAATCATAAGTGCAATTGCATAAAGCACTTGCCTTAATGGGTAAGACTTTTCTGGTTTCAAGTATAGTGGAAGAACCGGAGCCGGCTCGGATCTGGAGAGGGAAAGTGTTCGAGCAAAAAAACGGCAGCTTAATATGCTTGATGATCGCATTAATCTACTTGCGCTCGGTGGTAAGAAGGACTTTCCGGGATACAGAGGCGAAAGCGGCGATGGAGGTGGGGTCGTCAGGGTCTCTTTCGACGTAGCTTTGGGAGAAAATCACGCCCCATGGATCGGTCTCGGGCGGAAACTCTGTATTTCTTTTGTAATAGCTTGAATCGTGTTGAAACAACGTCCGGATGGTGTTACCGCCGCAATATTGACCGCGCCAGCCGCCGCTCGCCACCACTTCAACATTGTTTTCCTGTTCGAGAAATGCAAATCACGTATGTCATTGAATTTCACGACTTTTCACGTTTTCTTCTAGAGAGGTGCTACAAGTACATCGGGGTGTACATAAGGATGTCCATAATGGACACCGGGCACCTCCCCATTG